CCTAAGGTACTCTACGACAGTCATGTCATTGGTGCCAGCGTAGACCAGTCCAATCGAGTAGCAGGCTGTCTCCTGCGCCAGGGTGCTGTACTTCTCAAAGAGGAGACGTGTCCTCTGAAACAGGTCGTAGTCTCCTGTTCCAAACTTGAGAATTCCTAGGGCGAGATACGCCCCAAACAGAACACACTCGTCAGATGGGTCACCTGAGACCATTCCAGTGAGATACCCCTCTGATTCGCGAATCAGTGATGGATCGTGGCCGTACGTCTCCACCGCATTTCGGGAGATCAGCCCCAGACTGAGCAGGGCGGCTGCCTCCCCAGTTTCTGGGCTGGCTGGCAGCACCTCAGCCAGAATCTCAAATGGCTGGGTCGTGTGGATCAGTCCGAGACCAGCCATCTCCCCAAATCGGATCCAATCGACTGATCGACTCAGGCGGTTTGTTCTGTAGAAGGTGTCGTTGGTGGTGTGTGCGTTCATCAGGGCGTTGCAGAGGGAGAAGTCGAAGGGAGACGCCTTTCCCATGCATTCGAGAAACTTGAAATTGGTCTGAGAATTCAGGACCATGAAATCAACGAGCATCGCATTTGGCTGGGGCGAGACAAAGGGAAGCAGATCTGCCTTCCCAGAGGGAGTGGCCGAGTTGTAGGCGTAGAAGGAGGCGTACGGCTGCCAGTTGGCTGGGAGAGAGCGGATCCACTCTTTCTGGCTTCTGACGTGGGGGAGAAGGAGGCCGATGATGGCGAGTTTGTCAGAGGTGGCGCCTGGGGCAGCGAGGAGGCCGTGGACGAGGTCGGGCGAGTTCTGGACGAATTCGGCTGCGTCTGGGTGGAGGTGGCGGAGGAGGGCGACGACGTCCTCAGTTGCTCCAGTTCGAATCAGAAATTCTCCTAGTTTATGCTTCAATAACTCATTTTCTCCAATTTCATGGAGGTAGCCCAGGACGGATACGGTGGTTTCGGCAGCGTCAACCAGGCCCAGGACGTATTCGCGGACGAATCTGTCGCCTCTTCCAATCAGGTGCTCCATCAGCCTGAACTTGATTGCGTCGCAGTAGAAGGTGTTTGCGTCCAGGATGGATGGATCTGCCTTCAGTGCCCTCACTGCGTATTCAATCACTAACTCCTCCTGCTTTCTCAGCAGGTGCATTTTGGCAAGGACGGCCAGGGCAGCTGGGTCGGTCACAGCCTGGGCCATGTCGTCTGGGATTGTGACGTAGCACGCAAGCAGCTCGAGATTCGCGTCGATGAGTGCAATGGTGCTTGTTGCATCGCGAGAGTCGATGAGGTGTCTCACTGTGTTAAGAAGAGTAATTGTTTGACTATGCATGGGTAAAAATAAAAATAGGGTAAAATAGTAAATTATTACTAGTGTAGTATATTGTAGTATATTATTGCTACTGTATATTATTGTTACTACATATTATTGCCACTACTGTATACTACTGTATATTGAATATAGTATCACCTGCCTGTACTATTCTTCCATTCTTCTGGAATACGCCTGTAATGTATTCACGTAGCTGATTGTATTCCCACCGTGTTATATTTCGCATGTAAGTTGCCCTACCATCCACTGTCTCCAATCCATTCCATATCTTCTGCAGTCTCACCTGCCTCAACTTCTCCAATCCACTTCCTCCTATGCCCAGAATGCCTGCTACCTCAAAGTAGTGCTCTGGTAGCTCACTGAACTCCTCCTTGTTCTCCTCCTCCTGTGCCACCACCTCGTCCACTCTCTCGTACTCTCTCGGCGTGATGATTCTCGCCTTGTTTCTCTTCTGAAGATGGAGAGCCAGGTAGAGTGGAACACGTGTTGGTCGCAGTGGTGCTACTCGTATTCTGCTGGACAGAAGCGTGCTGCTTAGATCCACTCGTGATAGGCCCTCTATTTCAACATGTGTCTCCAATGCTAAATTGGTTAGTTCTTCTGGTGAAAACATGGTAGTAGCAGCAGTAATTAGTAAAGTGGGTAGTAAAGTAGGTAGAATAGGTAACAATATACAGTAGTAACAACAGTAAGTGTAACTACGATAACAATATACAGTAGTAAGTATAACTACAACTACTACTACCATAACTACCACTACCACTACACATACTATGCTTACTGACCCAAACAATCAAACAATCAATCAATCATTATCTTCCCCTTACACTCTTTTCACCCATGTTTAGAATCAGAACAAAACTAGGCAACTTAAACAGGAGACTCCTCATCCACCCAAAGCTGCTCTACTTTGCCACTTCCCTCTTCTTCTACACCCTCCACATGTACAGATCGCAGTTTGTGACTGAGATGTACGGCGTAAAGAAGAGCTACTGGGGCCTCTACTTCACAATTCCACAGATAGCGAGCCTGGTCTTCGGAATCAACGCAGCCGCCTTCGTCGACCGCCTTGGAATCCAGAAGTGGATTCTGGTTGGGTCGATTGGCGTCGCAATGGCGCTCTTCGGCGCATTCTTCGCCATCAGCAGCTTCGCCCTCTTCCTGGCCATCTTCACGATCTACTTCTCCTGCGTCTCAGTCACAATCCCCCTCATTGACAAGGTGGTGCTTGAGTTCCTAGACCGAACCGATGGAGTCGAAATGGCCAACTACGGGAGACAGAGGATGTTCTGCCCAATCGGATACATCGTCTGCTGCTTCATCCTCGACTACATCGTCGGAACAAGCCAGGTCGGTGGATCCGTGGTCTACGACTTCAGGCCGCTGATTCCGTACGCCCTGGTCACCGGTGCCGCTGCCATTGGCGCCGTCCTCCTCCTCGTCGCGAATCTGCCTCGCCAGAACGCAGCCCAGCGAAGCAACCTGCGTCTCGTTGGCTCCCTCCTCAGAAACAGCGAATTCACCTTCTTCATTCTGCTCATCTTCCTAAACGGTATCACGCGTGCATCAATGACAAACTACGTCAACGTCTACTACGACGACCACCTTGGATTCAACAAGGACAACAAAAATGCAACTGGTCTCAGCCTCTACCAGTGGATCCACAACGGCAGGAAGAAGGCAGTGGCCGTTCTCTTTGGAAACATCACCGAATTGGCCGTCTACGTTCTGAGTGCACCGATTGTCTGTCGATACGGGCTGCTTCTTCCGATTTTCTGGTCGCAGCTGGCCCAGGTGGTTCGTTTCGGTGGCTACTTCCTTTTGGCCGCTGATTCGCCAATTCGATTCGAGGTCGTTCTTCTTCTGGAGATGGTGAAGGGTGTTGGATTCGGTCTCATTCAGTCGAGTGCTGCCACCCTGGCAGTCAGGCTCGTTGCTTCCGACATGAAGGGGACGGCTCAGCTCGTCTACAATGGCGCATTCATTGCCCTTGGGACTGTGGCTGCTGGTGTTGGCTTTCTCTTCGTATTCAACGCGTACAAGGCAACGGGAAACATGATTCCTGTTGCAGCGTATAAGGCGATGTTTCTGATTGATGGGCTACTTACTCTCCTATGCATTGGACTGATGTTGATGAAGTATGCGATGAAGGACAGGGTGCTATTTGACACAGACAGGCTGAATGAGAAATTGGACAGGATTTCAGCTGAGGCATTGGAGGAGGAGATGGAGGATGTGAAGGAGATTGATGGACAGGAAGAAGAGGAAAAGGTGGATGATTTAAAAAAAGTCAAAATAGCAGCGAAGGAGTTGTGAGTGTAGGTGGTGGTGGTAGTGGTAGTTAGTAAAATAGTATTGCCAATGATTATTATCAATATTGTTGTTATCATCTACTATCATTTGCAACTACTGTTATTATCATCTACTGTTGTTATTAGCTACTGTTATTATTAGCTACTGTTATTATCAGCAATACTATCATTTGCAACTACTCTAGTACCACCTTAATATTCATGGACATCAACTCAGCAAGAAGGTACTTGAACACGTATGGCATCACAACATTCTTGTGTCTTCTACCACCACACTTGCACTGACTAGTTCGACTACTGAACATGATTGACTTACAGGAGTAGCAGTACTGGAAGACAGTGCGATCAGAGGAGTCGACAAGGCGGTCGATGAGCAGGCCAGCAGCACCGTGGGCAATCAGGGCGTCTCTTTCCATCTCACCAAAGCGTATTCCACCACCTGACTTTCTTCCTTTGACAGGCTGGTGGGTCGTGCTCACAACGGGGCCACCAGTGCGGACCTGGAACTTGTCTGAGACCATGTGACGCAGTCGCTGGTAGTAGACGACGCCTACGAAGATGTCAGTTCGCATTTCAGTTCCAAGTAGCCCAGAATACATTGGTTCATTGCCGTGGTAATTCAGCCCATGTGAAATAAGCTTATTGTGGATATTATGCTTAGTGATTTTGTTTGTGTCTGAATTGGCATGAAACATCTTGGCCTCGACTGGCTCAGCCTGCTTTACGGCTGCCTTTCCACACATCGACTCAATCAGCATTCCGATTGTCATTCGACTTGAGAAGGCGTGTGGGTTGATGATGATGTCTGGGCGTGTTCCGTCTTCCGTAAAGGGCATGTCTGTCTCAGGCCACAGGAACGAGCAGACGCCCTTCTGGCCGTGGCGGCTGCAGAACTTGTCGCCGATGACTGGGTTTCTGACTGTACGAAGCGTGATGGATACGCCCTTCTTCACTGAGCACTTTTCGTCATTCTGAAACACCCTCACTTTCTCAACTATTCCACTTTCATTACTGTCGTATTTCTCGTATTTCAGTAGGCCATCTGATTTATGCACTAATAAAATATCACCCTTCTTGAGAATCGAACCAACAGAGGCTGTTTTGATGATTCGACTGTCTCTTTCTAGGTCGAACTTCGTGCATTTTGTGACGAATCCACCAAAGAGACCACGTTCTACGGCCGACTTGTTCAGCACCACCGCATCCTCCATGTCGTAGGCCGTGTAGGACAAGACGGCCACGATGCAGTTGAATCCAAGAGGAAATCGCTCAAATGTCTCGTACGAACTGGTTTTGATCAGTGGATGCTGCAGGTAGTTTACGACGTAGGCCTTGTTGTCCGTTCTACTCGACTGGGTATACGATGGTATTCCCATGGCCTGTTTTGCCATCTGACACTGATACATGTTTCTTGGTGATGGATTGTGGTCTCCAAATGCTATACAGGATGCTACTGTTGAAAACAGGGCATCTGTGTCTATTTCAGCGTACTTGAATTTATCACCCTGATTCTCTACTAGTTTTATGTCTAAATAGACTTGTTCTCGTATCCCAATGTATTCCAGGTTGTTTTCTCCAATATTTCTCACTTTTCTAATAAGGCTGCTTATGTCATCGCAGATGCTTAAGAATTCCTCCTTGTTTGAACCACTTTCGTGTACAATCTCAATTTTAAGGCCATTTCTGTTTCTGATTCTTCTTAGGGCATTTGCCACTTCTTCTGGTTTCTGGGTGTATCCGACTATTTTGCCGTTGTAGAAGACGACTGTTTTGGTGCAGGAGACACCGCTAAAATATTCCACTCCGAGTTTGTAGAGCGTGTTTGAATCAAAGGTGTTTTTATCATCGGTGAGTTCGCAGTTCTTCGTTAGGTGCGTTAGGAGGCCACATGGAGATCCATCAGGCGTGTTGACTGGGCAGAAGAATCCAAAGGACTCAGGTCGCAATTTTCTGATCGAAGTGATCTTGAGACTCGCAAAAAATGATCCACGGGCAACTGAGTGGAAATGAGAAGCAAATCGCCAGAAATTGATTCGTTCTGCGACAATTGTGAAGCCGGAAGTCTGAAGCAGATCGGAGCAGCTGTAGGTTGAGATTGTTCCAGTTGAAAGAAATCGCTCTATTTTTGCACCAATGTCGAATTCGACTCTTTTTAGAATATCGTTGATTTTGATCAATTTGGAGTTATCCATGACAAAGGGCAGGCTTCCAGCAGTGTCATTGAGTGTCTCAGACATGTTGATGTTGGATGGGCAGACTGTGCTTCCCTGGGTGCTGGTGATTTCGTCCTCATTTTTGGAAATGATCTCCTTCAGGTATTTCATCAATTTGATCTTGAAAGCCTTTTTGATTTCTTCAAGTCGCTCTCTAATGCAGAGGGGAATCAGTTGGGCCTCAGTGTACAGTTCATGATTCGAAGCCAGGTCGATGTTGTCTGGCTCGATCTTCTTATCAATCACCAGAAACAGTTTTCTGATTGCATGGATGATCAAGTTGAACTTGTCCTGTGACGAGTTCAAATGCGGTAGAATTTTTTCAAGGAGAAGTTCGCCTGGTTCGTCTGATCCCCTGAAAACAAATTTGAATCTTTCGGCCAAGAAGTCCCTGGTTTCTTTTTTGCCAAAGCATTTTGACAAGTTTGGATCGGAGATGAATTCGGTTGCCCTGTGGTTCTTATCAAGTAGATTGTACAGTTCTTCATCTGTTACGCTCTTTAGTGCTCTGAGAACGTAGATTACTGGTATGAAATATGCCCTCTTATAAAACCAGCATTTGAACAGGATGTTTCCGTCTGTTGCGTGGATTATCTCATTCTTCTGTCCTATTTCATCATCACCAACTGATCTGATGAAACAGGAGTAGCCTGTGAATTTGCTATCTTTTGAGTTGTTATAGATTGCATAAAACCAGTTTCGTTTGAATGCGATATGGAATCGCACGAGTCTGTCGTATCCACCAATGACGAAATAGCCTCCGTTTTCGTGTGGATCTTCTCTCACACTGCGACTCTCATTCTCAGACGCCTTCTCCAAATGACACAATTTGCTTTTGAGCATAATTGGAAACTTCCCTGCTGACCTGAAATCGTCATAGAGCACCTCATCGTTGTACGTCAGTTTGGCCTTTATGAACATGTTGCCACCATACGTACTACTGGACTCTCTCGCCTCATTTGGAAACATCCTGTTATCTACCAGCTTGTTTAGGTTGTATGCTTTATGTATTTCAACTTTTTCAAATGATAACTCAAATCCCTTATATTTCATGCTATCCGTATTATATATCACGTTATCGATGATATTCATGTTCAGCATGGCATTGAACTGCTTTATGTGCAAGTCTCCAATTTCTGAAGTCTTCATTAGGCCTTCTAAAAATTTAGGAAAATTCAACAGTTTCTTTTTCACCATTTAATTCCTCTCTACAGCAGTTGTTTGCATATCTCCTTCTTAAATTCACTAAAAAGACTGTCATCGTACACAAATGGTACATTGTGCTTATTCTTGAACTCTTTCAAAATATTCGAATTATATCTGCTGATTTTGAAGTTGTGGATCTCTTCTGATAAATGGAGTGTATTCTTGAGCTGTTTGATCACTGATTTGTCGTATTCAAATACCAAACAGACATATTCATTGCTCTTTGTTATCTCTCTGATTCTGTCTACTTTATTGAGATTGTAGAATACCACTGCGTCTCCATCTACGAATCTCTTCACAAAATACTGCATTCCTGAATAGAGTGGTCCATAACAGAATACAGCTCTAACTCCTTTCAGAATACTCAGGTCCATGTTTCCAACATGCAATTGAATTGGTTTCTCTGATATTTCATACTGAATCATTTCTGCATTATCAAAATATTGTTCAGGAGTGAAGAATCTCAAGCCGCAGTTCTTCGCAAACTTCAGGTCGAAATCGCTGTAGTCAGTGAGTCGTCCCACACAGTCACCTACGTAAAACGCGTCATCAAACTTCCTTGATATCGTTGGAACATCGATTTCCATTTCTGGCCTATTTGTCAGGTCAATGCTGCTTGTTATTTTTGAGTTCCCTATGATTCCAATTTCACCCAATTTCATCCCTTTAAGTTGAAATTCACTGTGATTCAGTAGAAGAAGACCAGAAACAACATCTTTGGTGCTGGTTAGCTGACTCAATAGATACAAATACATTCCATTTGTTGGTTTGTGGAATCTACTATGGATCAATGACCCAATGAATATCATTGGAATATCAATCTCCTTGCAAATATTCGTGATTTTCTTTCTGAATATTTTCTTCTCATTTTCTGTTCGGACATTCTTCTTATTTGAGATAATTGCGACAAAATATCCGTCTCTATGGAGATCTCGTAGTTTCTTTACACAATTTTGGCTTTGAAAAATGTATGATTCCGTAACTACTCTCTCGTAGATGCATATCGTGCTGTCAAACTCGAAAAGTGCTATTTTATTCCTACTGTAATCAACTTCTCCGTGTTTGTGCTCAAAAATGTATTTGGATGTGTCAATCATGGGATACTTTTATCAAATTATTACATCACAATTTTAGCATAACACTTGGTCATTTCCAACACTCTCAAATATTCCTGTAAACCTGAAATGAAAGTAAATACACTTGATGTACCTAGCATATCAATGTATTCCCTAAGGCCTGCTCGGATATTTTGAACATGTTGGCTACTAACAAAATGGTTGATTTTGAATTTGTCCCTTACAACATTAAGGAATTGTTCTTCTTCTGTAAAAATCATTTACAGCAATTCTATGACTGATTTCAACTCCTGCTTCAACGCAATCACTGCATTGACATCCTCAAATAGCTGTTCTACTGTCTTATTTTCACTGAAACTCCTTCTAAAATAGCTTTGTAATTTGTCATATTTGATCAATACCTGTATCAAATTATCCAACATAGCGTAATAGTCCAGGTCTAATAAGACGCCTAAGTTGCTTTCCACAAGTCCACTATATTCCTGTTTGATGAGATTGATTAATTCCATTGATTTGGTTCGTGTATCCATATGGCACATGTTCATTTTGCTGTAATATGCATAAATTGATGTACCATACAGAATAGATCTACTGCTAAAAAGCATCAAATTTTCATTGTTGATCTTCTCGGAATTGTCATGTAAATTCAATACCCGTTCATATTGTCCAAGGTTTTCGATTACTGGAGCAGCTAGTTGTTTTACCTTCATGTATTTGTATACAATGGTTGTATTTAAATCCTGTTCCATGGATTGCTGTTCAGTTAATAGCATAGCGCATCTAGAACAACTTATTAAAACAATCAATAATTTGGTGATGTCGAGAAACATTGGGGATTGTTTTGTTTGTTTGTTGAATAGATGTGATCTGTTACACATTAAATTGTCATGAAAATGAGCTTTGGTGAACTTGAGTGTATCAATTTTTAAGGTTATAAAGTGATAACAAGAATTTACTTGGATTGTATTGATTAATGTTTTTATTATCAGAAATAAGGATACTATTGTATTTTTTGGTATTTAATACGTGTTTTTAAACCATGCATAGGGTTAAAACGGTGAGAAAAGAGCCTTAGAATATAGGTAAATGATCGAAGTCATATATCTTTGATACAGTATAGTGGATTGTATTTATACATCTGTTTCCTGTATTTCATCAAGGACAATTTCCATTACCTTTTCCAGGTTGGTTTCTTTTGTGTTCATAAATGCGATTATTTGATCATATTCCTTTTGTAATATGGTAATTTCCACTGTTTTAAAGAAATACAGGAAGAAATCGCTCATCAAATCACATTTGTACCATTTGTTCAGATTATCCTCTTTGTTCTGTTGCATATCGGTCAGTAGAATATGATCATCTTGTAGCACTGATCTATAACTGATTAGATCACATTTCATTTTCATACATTCACTGAATTCTAAACTTCCAAATTCTATTCCTATTAGTTTAACTAGAAACTTTATTGCTTCTTCTTTCTTTTGTATTTTTAGAAGTGCTCTTTTTTGTTTCATCCACTTCTCTAGGTCGTATTTTTCTAACCTGAGTTTGGTATTGTAGAAATCAAATGATTTGACTCTTTGACCTTTTTCTATTTCTCTTTCACTAATTGATTCATCGATTGCTGTCTTTATGATAGCTTTATCTTGACAACATCCTTCTAACTCCTTCAATTCTTCAATGAATTCATTCAATTCCTTTACCCTTTGCTCTCGATTGTGTTCCTCGAATTCATCTTCCTCTATTTGACGCAAGAGTGAACGAATCTCCTTCTCAACCGAGTCAATCTTCTTTATTGTTTCGGTATGATGCTCTGATATTTCTTGTAGTTTCAGGCCCATAAAGCTAGCACAAACATACGAAATATTTATCAAACAAATAAACATAAGGTTGATCACCTATTGGATTTTTTTATCAGTATTTATTATATACAAACACTCCTTTCAGAGCAACAACATTAAGAATGGACTACTGCTACTATTTATTCAGGTTGCGAGTCACTTTTCTTATCTTTTTGTTCACGCTGAGTATTCTTCTTAAAATGCTTCTTACAAAAAGTTAGCTTTTCTTCTACACCCAGCAATGACCTACCTAAAAGGGTGAGAATATCCATTAAATCTTCTTTCAGATCATCAATGTACACTGACTTATAAAATGCCAAATAGAAATCAGGTATGTATTTGTGCTTGTGGTGTTCTCTTGTACACAGAAAATCAGGGCTTTTATCTTGAAATGCTTTAAGTTGATCATTCTCTTGTTCAAATAACTTCATATACTTTTTAATCTCTTTTTGTATTGATTTTAGCTGTCTGTGATCAATATCTCTGTGGTGTACTTGAACTAAAAGCAACAACTGTTCCATTGTATCTTCTTTCAACATCACTTCTAGCAACACTTCCTTCATATCCAATAGGTCTGTCATGGCACAATCTAGTAACAAGGCTTGGGAATCATAATACATCTTTAAAGACACGTGGCTGAATTCTTCTTTCTCATGTTGCTCTCGAATGGAATTTAACTCTTCCTTGGTGAGTTTTCCTTCAGCATGTTCGCTTTCTGATTTCATGAATTCTGTTTTTAGTCTGCTTATTTCTATTCTTTCTTTGATGGCAACTATTTTATGTTCTTGGTTTTCCAATTGATTTGTCATCATCTTGTCATCAATTCTACGTAGCTCTGCTCTTGTTTTATTCCTATGATTCTCTATATCTTCAAGTGTGAACTTAAGATTGTATGAACAAACATGTGTGAGAAAATACAAACAAATAAACATAAGGTTGATCACTTATTGAATTTATATTGATCAAATATAAATTATGTTGAGTGATACAAAATATATTATCTCAATCAAATATGAAATGTGTTGTTGATGATTAATCATTCACTAGGTTATCCAAATCTAGCATTCTTAAACTAACAGCAGTTTCTTGTAATTTTGCATTTGTTTCTTCAACTGTGGTGCATTTGAGTGTTTTCAAATAAAACCACGTGATTTCTTGCTTCATCCAAAAAGCAAACGCAAAATCATTTGGATCAATTGATGTTTTGATGTCAACCAGTGCGGACTCGATTGTATCTGCTAATTTCGTTGATTCTGCTGCAGTTTTTACTGGTTTTTGTAGACTAATCATTGTTTCCAGTATTAGAACCTTGATATTTAATACACTCACTTCATCAGTGTTGTTTTTAATTGTTGATTCTGTGAACAAGACTGCGTTTTTAAGGGTTGTATATTTCTTGGATTCAACGGCATACTCTTTAATACCGCAGGTACAGCCTTCTTTTGGTTTAATCTCAGAGTCAAATAGTATTTTATGACAATCACAACCCAATTCCACTGATTTTGAATGTGCTGCTACATTTTTCTGTGCTAGTTCCTTGGTATCGTACCCATCCAACGCTTCTTGTTCTGATTTCAGAACTTCATTTAGTTTTACCACAATACCTTTTAAAAACACTCTTCTTGATTCCACATCGGCCAATATCTCCTCTAGTTCAATTAATATCTGATCACTACAAATTAATAGTCCAAACAAATAAAATATAAACATCTGATGGGTCTATTAAATGTCATAAATCAGGTTAAAGACTCTTCTTATTCGTGTCAATCAACACTGGTAAATTGGATGCTGTAACCTGTAAACTTTTTACCCCAATGCCCAAGAAAATCTCATTTAAGCCGCACTCAATTCTATGTTTGCCCACTAAAAAGAACCAAACGGCATTATCTAATGTGTACATGTTCTATCTAAGTATGAATGGATTATTTAGATACAGTTTGGAAGATGATTCAGTAGAAAACATTCAACTGTTTGGTGAACAGATATTCTGTATTAAGGATGTTTTATGCATCCTAAACAGAAATATTCTGACTGTCTACTTTGATTTGGTCACTAACATCCTGAATTACACGGTAGAAAGTAGAATAATTCATATCAGGCAATCAGAGGAGTATTTGCTGTTCATTTGTGAGAATTCACTAGAATGTATAAGAGTAGAGAGAAACAAGGCGACACAAAGCAGAATAAGAATAAGAAACATACGGGATGCAACAATCAAAGACGAATTCATTTACATAGTGACCGCTGAAGAAGTATTCAGGGCAAACAAGATACTATTGAATAAGGAAAATGAGTACAATTGTATTGGGGAAGGAGACTTGATAAAAATAGATGAATTCTTAACAATCAAGAAGACAAGGCTGATTTATTCAAAGGATGTCAAAAGGTGCTACGTATTCAACGATAATATTGCATTATTGTTTAAAGAAGAACTGATGGTTTACAAAATGGATAACGGCAAACTAAGAGAGAAATTCAAGCTGAAACAGAGTACTGAGGTCTGGAATATTGATCAGTATGGAATACTAAGTTCTAAAGAAGGACTGGTTGATATGAGCAAGGCGCCTACCATGTTGTTGAGTGATAAAATATATTGCAGCAGCAAGAATGGATATGTTGGAGAAAACAGGGTTTATTATGTGGATGAAATTAAGGGTGAATACAGCAATAGAATCACTATGGGAAATGAGAGCATTAGAGAAATACGAATTGATAAGAACGAAATTGTGGTGCCTGAATACGCAAAGGATGTGAAAGAGCTATACATCAATTTTAAATCTAAAATTAACGAATGGAACAAGATACATGAACAGATATCAAAGAATGATAGTAGAAATAAAATAGAGCAAGAAGTTAGAGAGTTACAGGAGAGCGTAGAGAAAGAGATAGCAAAATTGAACAAAAAGAAGGAAGTGGTAGAGAAAAGGATCGGAATCCTGATGGAAAAGGCAGGTAAAATAAAAATGGATACAAAAAGAATGAGAGCATTGATGGATGAATTGGCAGGCAAACTGAATAGAGCAATGAAAAAGAACATTTCAAAATATGTGGGGAAATTGAAGATGCAGAAAGCAGCATTCTTGGATATGGTAGAATGATTTGGAATCATTTCAATAACCGTTATTCTATCAACAAACATCAATTTTTGAGTCCGGGTGGCCTAATGGTAAGGCATAGCTCTCCTAAAGCTGGGATTGCGGGTTCAACTCCCGCCTCGGATGTGTTTTTGGGGTTCAATTTTCCCGCCCTTTTTTTGCAAAACTCACTGATCGTCTCAGACTATTTTGTTTCTCCATTGCCTTTGAATTCTTTTGTTTTTAACCCTGTTATTATGCCAGATTCAAACTCACAGGAACTCCCAAGCCAAACAGACGAGATGTTCCACTTCCTAAAACAGGTAGATCCAAAAGAGAAGGAGGCTGTCTACAGTAAGGCACTTACGATGCTATCCAGTGATATGTATTCCATGCACATATTCCTGAATTACATTGATTTTGTATTGCATAAAGAAGACCCAGAAGTTCTTGAAAAGCTGTATACTGTGCATAAGAACAAGTTCAAGGCGTATCACGCATTCTGGAAGAGACTCATTGAGTTCTCTGTGGTCAATTTGAAGAAGGACTTTGATATGGTGCTGGATAAAGTTGTGAGATATCTGAAGGCAAATGAATTCATAGGCAGGGATGAAATGATGGAATATTTTACAAGCAATAGAAGCAAGATACAGAATGACATTAAGAACAGCAGAAACATGAGCTATATGGCACTTTCAACACCAATAAAAAGCAACCTGAATAATCCAAGTTCCTACAAGGATGTAGAAACAGAACAGGAAAGTGATCCAATTGACCCTGATGATTTCTACTCCATTTTTGGCAGTGCTAAGAAGAATAAGCTTAATTTGGAAGTAAAAAGCAGTGACCTGGGAATTGAACTCGCCCGTGGCACTGAAACTGTTAGCATAATTCATGATAAAATCACTGGTGATACGCAAGAATTGATGGATCGAATTGTGGAATTAAACAGCTGCAAAACACATGTAACTGGTGGAAGTAGGAAGTTCTGTAGCAAAATAGAACACATAAACATACAGAAACCAGTTGAGATAGAAAATGAAGAAGAATCAGGTTCTACACAAAATACGAGTGTATCTAAGAAGTCATTGAGCTTCCTACAGGACCAGAAGCATCTTCCAATAATAGAAAATACACAGCCATTGAACAATAGTGGTCAAATTGCATTCAACAGAATGAACATAATTTATTTGGAAAAAATAGGTAAAGGTGGATTCAGTACAGTCCACAAAGTGATGCACAATAACAAGATATACGCACTAAAGAAGATATTCAAGGGTGATTATGATAAAGAGGTGCAGATATTGCAAAAGTTGAACAGGGTATCGGATAACTATGCTATTAAGATGGTGGATTACAAGCAGAATGTAACTGAGGACATCATTGAGATTCTTTTTGAATATGCTGAAATAGATTTGCAGAATTATACGAACAAGAATGCGTATTCCAATCACTTCATCAAACACATTGCACTGGAAATGCTACAGATCATCGAATTCATCCATACCAATGGAGTCATTCACAAGGACATCAAACCAAGCAACTTCGTATTCGTCCAAGGTCGTCTCAAAGTGATTGATTTTGGAATATCTAAGGAAATGGGCCCAGATACAACCAGCTGTTTGAACAACAAAGAGGGTACATTCTACTATAGTTCACCAGAAGTGTTTCTGAAGCAGAAAGTGGGTCGATCTGCTGATATTTGGTCATTTGGCTGCATTATGTACTATTTGTACTATAAGGAGACTGTTTTCAAGCACGATGATATGCACCGTCTTTCAGAAATCACCCAAAAAGAGATCAAATACCGCAAAACAGACAGAAATGGTCACCAAATGGATGAAAGGGCAATTGACCTGATGAAACTCAGCCTGAAAATTGATCCTAAGGAGAGACCTAAAGCAGATGAACTACTGAAATATCACCCGTTTTTCATTCAGTAAATTGTATATAAATAATATCAGTGTATTTTGTTTACTGCTGTTTTAAAATGTCTTTGTTTATTACACAAATGATAATCCTCTTTTTGTCACTGATCAGTTCCATTTCCATGCGATTCGTCGATGAGCATGGCTTCGACATCCCAAACATCTTCAAATACTCTCAATTCAAAATACTCCTTGACAATTCAACAGCACATAGTGAACCAATTGAATTGGAATGTGTCAGTAGCCTTTATGATACTGAGAATTCTATGGGAGTATCATTTACAGATGATAAATGCAGGTTCTACGTCACAGGGATCAAAATGGGAGATACCAGGATCACTGATGGGACATTTGGATCATTCAATGGGTGTAACAGGAATCTTGAATACATTTTAGATAGCATCAAATATAAGTATGAATTACACGATGACGTCTATATGCTAACTACTAGTGATAAATACAGCAAGGATGAATATCCTGGTATAAAATACATTGGTGATATGACTGATATGGACTATTTAAAAGAGAATAAGGTCATGGATATGAACAATTTACTACAAAGAGGCCTAATAGCAGCTGGTTTAGATGGTTCTGTAATCAACTTCAATGTATTTGTTGTGAAAGACCCATCAGTCAAAGATGATGAGATGAATATTGATAAAATATTGTCAGGTGCAAATGAAATATTTGCTGGTACAGGAATAAGAATCAATACAATGGATCAGATCAATATCAATGGTGGCTCAGTTGATGATCTAGAGCACTTTGCTCAACTGATGAATGAAATCAAGATCAAAAATGATAAAATACTCAGGGCCAGTCTGATAATGCTAGTCAAAAAGAGCGAGACCAAAATGAAACATCTTGGAATGTCGTATTCTGGTGGTGCTGATACGCTAAACAAGAATTATTCGGTGATTTATTTGAGGGATTCCAAATCGCATTTTAATCAGTTATTGAATGCAAGGGTAGTAGCACATGAAATAGCGCATTCCATGGGGGTTCCACATGATAAGGATGACACTAATCACGTTATGAGCAGAGTAGATTTTAAGGCATCTCGGAGCAAGAAATATCTGAAATTCAGTACAGAATCACTTTATTACATCAACAAATACTACAAGAAGACGCAGATTAGAAGGACGCAAACTAATACGAATAGGTTGGTTACCAGTGAAGCAGATGCAACTGCCCTGGTGAATGAACTAAGGCGTGATTCGTATAATCAAATTGTAAAAGAGAGACTCAACAACAAGGAACCAGACACAATCAGGACGAAATACTATTTGGTGCTCAGTCTGCTGTTCTATTTATTCAGTATAATGGTAGCAGTGATATACATTAAATAAGGTAGTGATGAATGTTAAATATCATATTTATTGGAGAGTATTTTCAGGTTGCCTTCTTCAATCCACTTCCCCTTATAAACCAGCAATCTGTTCACCAATGCCACCAGTTCTAATTCTAGGCCTTCTTCAGTTATCATTCTGATTATTCTGTTAACTTCTTCCTTGCTTAATCCCTTGATGTAATACTCTGTATCTTCACTGCTGATACAACTCTTATAGAGTAGAATGTCTTTGTATAATTCCATAGCCTCTTTACGTAATTGTTTGCTCTGTTTACTGCATTGGATATTCCTATTCAAATAATGCAGAAATTGTATTTCTGGTTCATTCTTTTTGGTTTCTAATGGTGCATTATCTTGGTCTATTTTAGTTTCAGATTCTATTTCAGTTGTATTGTAGTTGATTTCATTGATAGTATAACACTCGAATACGTTCGTCTTTGAAAAGACTGTGATGAAATCAAACTGTCTTATCAGAGAGACTGCACTGATTTTGTAACCAAAATCATGATCAAATGCCTTAGTAAAAGTATTACCTGATATAGCGTAGTTGGTTACTTTGCTTCCATCTATAACTGATAAACACCCTGGTACCACATCAAAGGCATTGCATTTTCTATTGAATATTATTCTTAGATCCTTGTTGTAAATCAGTAGATTTGGTCTAGTTTGAATCAATATCATATCACCAAATATTCTGATGCCTTTTTTGTGGGCATTATTGGCTATGTTACTGATCAGATTGAATTCAATGAAATTGTGATGATAAACCTGAATAGAAGTAGTGGTGTAATACACCAATAATGTATCACTGATCGCACCACCTTGAATTGTCCTATTGATTCGACGATTCTTTGTCTGATTGATCAAGTTGTTGTCAACATGGATCAGAACACGCTCTGATTTCTTGTGAACCAGATACAGGTTGGAGTCATCTCCAAACAGAATCAGATCCCTGTAATTGTAAAACCAGTCTGTTTTTCTAGTAAACAGCTTAGTCTGTTTCTTGTTGTATTCGATGTCTATGAATTGGTGATTAACTTGGATCAGGCAACTTGTTTCACTAGCACTGATTTTATCAAAATTCTTTTTGAATAAAATGTCATTTCTACTGTCTTTGAACAGATTAATCAGTTGAATCGTGTGATCATTCCAAAGCAGAATATTCTCCTTGATTCTACACATGGATTCTGGATGTGTAATACGCTCACGTTTCTTGAATAGTTTGAAGCAACCTTTGCTATTCAACTTGTATAGTGTCATATCATCTGGACCAAAACAGATTATCGTATCATCTGATAAGAAATAACAACGCAATCCATCCACACTGTCTACAACCTTCTTTGATTCCATATCAAACACATCTATTCTCAGGCTATCAGAAATAGAGATTAGCACATATTTGTCATAGCACTGTGAAATATACACCATATTATCATCGACATATTCTAATATGCTATACACCTTCTTATCCTGCTTGATATCATATACTACTATTTCTTTCCCCATCACAAATAACACAATGTTCCTATCAACTGTAGTGAACACATTTTCAATTCTTTCATCCATTACAATAGTATAGACAAGCTTCTTCTTACTATAGTTGTAGATGAACATCTTCTTTCCTGCATGTAACAGTATTTTGTTATTTCCCATACATAAAATATTGTCAAACTTTTTGCTGAAATTAAGCTCAACTTGATCTATTTGTATCAAATTCTCATCTAAAACAACTATTCTGTTTTTATAGTTCACTATCCATCTGTTTTCAATAGCCCTAACGCGATCTATTTTTTCAGCACAGACATAGCTTGCTACTAATGTATCCCTAGTGTATTCTTCTATCTTATTATCACTCACAAATATCATTTTGTGCTTATTAAATACATAAGATGTTATGCAATAATCCAACTCAAAATAAAAATGGGTTGTTAGGTCCATGGCTTTGTAGATGGTAACATTTGTCTTATTGTCCTTGTGGTGTACCATTGCAATGTATGTTACGTCCTTAATAGTTGTATATTGTGGTGCAAATAGATCCGTATAGCCACTAATCACATTTCTGTACGATTCGTAAAAATGTCCCATTTAAAACTGGGATACAAAAATTGAGAAATTCTGGATCAAATTGTCAGGCGAATAGCCCCAATTAAAATGACTGTGACTGAACGAACTAAGGAAATCAAAATAGGAATGCTGGAGAGTACAATAGCACTATCTGACCGCATGTCAACATCATTTGGACCAAAGGGACTGGACAAGATGATCAAGAAGGGAAAAGAATGCACCATTACAAATGACGGGGCAACAATCCTAAAATTTTTCAAGGAAAATCCATTACACAACATTCTAGGATCCATGAGTGATGCACAGGATGTGAATTGTGGAGATGGAACCACTTCAGTTGTACTATTGGCTTGCTCACTTTACAAAACGATGTCAGAAGACGACAACATTCATTCAGCCAAAAAAGCCCAGGCACTTGAAATAGTAAAGAAAATAGGAGTAGATCATATCAGAAGTGTCAGATCTAAGGTGAATGACATTCTCAGTGTGGCATTGACTACTCTGAATAGCAAAATAGCTGCTAAAAATGTCAAATTGGCTAAAATAGCAATCGATGCTCTCAACAGCTTTAATTTCGAAGATGTGAAGATTCTGAAGAAAGTTGGTGGCAATTTGGATGATGTGATCATGCACAAAGGAATTGTGTTGCAGCAAAACAGAGGATTCATTGGTTTTGAAGGCATAAAAACTGTCAAGCTCCTCATTGTCCAATTCTGCATTAGTGCGCCTAAAACGAACATGGACGCCAAAGTGGAGATCAAGAGCATTAAGCAGATGAAGCAACTTGTTTTGGAAGAGCAGGAATACTTGATGAAGAAGATTAGGAAAATCAAGGAATCAGGGTGTAACTTGTTAGTTGTACAAAAAAGCTTAGTTAGAGAAAGCATCAGTAAACTGGCATTGCATTTGTTCAAGAAGGAAGGAATTGATGTTATTGATGGCCTAGAAAGAAGAGAAATAGAATATTTGAGCAACAAGATGAACATAAGAGCTGTTTCTGACCCACTATTGATCAAACAGGCTACTGATATTGAAGTGGAAGTATTCAAGTATGAGGAAAATAGTTTAATGGACGATCCATCAATCAACAGCACTTTTGTCAATTTCAAGACAGATGATTGTTGCACCGTTGAAATCTCAGGAGTGGATCAGATCGTGGTTGATGAATGTGAGAGATCACTACACGACGTGCTTTGTGTTGTGAGATGCCTGAAGAATGAGCCTTTCATTTGCCCAGGAGGATGTGCTATTGAAACTGGAATTGGGGTGAAATTGGAAGAGTATTCAGGAGAACAGAGACTGTTGGTAAACAAGGCAGCAGATGGGTTTCTGGCACTGACACACCATTTAGCAAAGAGCGCTGGTTTTAATACGATTGAAATTGTGAACAGTCTGAAAATGAAACTGAAGGAAAACTGGAATTATGGAATATCAATGCGTAGAAACAGAATAAGCGACATGGTGAATATGGAGCATGTTGTACAACCATCAGCTGTCTGTGAGAGCGAGATTGTGCTAGCAATTGAAACAGTTCAGATGTTACTGAAGATTGATGACATGTTGCCTACGATAGAAAAATGAGTGTCATTAAAAAGGTGGTTTCACATATTTTTAGGCAATGTGGCTGAGTGGTCTAAAGCGTTTGATTCGAAACCAAATGGGTTCAACCCGCACAGGTTCGAATCCTGTCATTGTCGTTTTTATAGGCATAAACACCACCTTTATGTTAAAAAAAGGCCTAAACGGGAATCGAACCCGTAGCTCATGATTACGAAACATGTGTTTTACCTTTAAACTAAAAGGCCTTAAAATATTGTTTTTGTACCATACAAACACAATAATCAAAATTACCTGATTTTGTTAAAACTACTGTAACAAATCATAATGGATGAAGTATTTATAATGTTGATCTGATCTAATTTTCATCTATTTAGAGCTTATACAATCTTAAGCAATCAATTGAAGTATGTTATTTTTACAAAATTTACTGATCAGGTGATTGTACTAATGTTGCTTAACATGTGTATGTATTGTGTTGTTACTCAAAAATACAATAAAAGAACCACATATTGATCATTTAATTTAAACGGTGATTTTTTATGCAAGATCAATATCCCCATTTTTATGAAATATATGCTGTTTAACGTATTCAAAATGGTTAAAGCGTCCTACTCTTGCGATGAGGAATCAGATAACTCTCTTATTCGATCACCAGTAACAAAATATTACACTTCAGGATGTTCAACTTCAACGTTCATACTCAATCAGCATAAAAGTGAACAGTTTGTTGATCCAAATGTGACTGACATTGATTTCCAGAATTCACTTATATGGAATATGAGCATCCATGGTAATACATATGTTGTGGATGTTGTGGATGTTGTTATTGATCTTAGGTTAAAGATCAAATATGGTAAATCTATACGTCGCATGCTCAGGACATTTGATCAACCCCTTGGAGCCGATGTATTCGATTACATTGAACAATTTATCATATACAATTACATGAATTCAGCATCAGAAGAAGGTAATATTGCTGTTGATCACAGACCATCTAGATTTGAAAGGTGGATTTGGTGGGTTGATTATGAATATAGTCTAAAGTGCGATTATAAGATGAAGAAAACTCATAGTCGGGTTGAAGTTGATAAGAACGATGCCAGTAGAAGAAAAGTAGAAAGATTTTGTAATAAGGAAGGTATCAAAGACAAATTAAACGGTGCAACTAACAAGTACGCCTATAATGTAGTTGTTGATCCGATCCATTAATTAATTAGCCACTAAATATATTCATGTTTGTTTATGTTACAAACCGCAACATGACTCGGTTTTCCACTAGGGCAGGGATGGCCATTGTGGCCAATTTTCCTATATTTTTTTCTTAGGCAGTTCTATTGGGAAAAGCAACGTTTGAAGCATTTTAATCCCTGTATCACAAAAAATTGCCATATTTTTGAACCTTACTACAACCCTGTACAAAACAAAAACCTTATTTTTATCCCTAATTTTGGGCTTGAAAAATAGGAAAAATATCACTACGTTTCAAGGTGATTTTGTCACTCAATAATTACAATGAGAACTAATTTTTATTGAAAAAGAGCATGTGAAGACACGTCCAAAACAACGATTCGTGTTTTAGCCGCGTCTAGATTACATGCATGAGATCGAAATAGCGAAAATGTTACAGATTGAAAATCTGAAGACAAGAGAGTGCTAGAGGAGGACATGAAAGTAGTGCTTTAGAAACCTTTGATGATATTAAGGCCCACAATAGAGGACGTTATTGGTGTTTCAATTTGATTTCATAGGAACCAAACGGATGTCAAAACGAACATAAAGACAAGAAATAACAGGTTATACTTCTTGTCTGTATCAAATAAGTGAGCATACCATCGTGTTTGTTTCCAAAAAAGATGTTATTGGGAACAAAATATGGCTATTTAGCTTATTCACCTGAATTAGAAATTATTGAAAATAAAAACAACAGCTTTATTAGAGCGGACGCAAGACGATGAATATCATAAAACAGAGTGTTTGAAGACAAATAAAGGCAAGTTTGTTGCATTTCGGATATTTTGGGCGGAAATAGACAAACAATAACATGGTAATTTGACTATCTCTGAATCAAATGCCTAAAAATCGATGAAATTAAGACAATTAGAGGATATTTAACTACGATGAATAAACATAAGTACAGAATGGGAGAAGTAAGATCAACAAGGAGAATGATAGCTGGGGATAACGATTGATAATGATGAACAGATTTTTGATTATTTTCTAAGATAGCGATTAACCTGATAAAGATGATCACGACGTTTCGAAGAAACGTTGTGATTCCTTGCGCGGAGCGGCAATTTTTTGGCCACCCCTGCACTAGGGACAAAATCTTGCACCTCACGCAACAAGTAGACAATGACATTTAATTCAGAAGTACGAACGAATAGATGACAGCCCCGCTGCAGTTATCACACTAGCATCTGATTCCAGAAATTCATTCTAGGAATGCAATAAGACAAATTTAATATATCGACTTAAAAGAAAATTAATGAATAAACACCCATCAATGTCAACACATTCACCGGTTCAGATCAGTTTATATTCCCTTATAATTCTCATTGATTAATCAAATCATTTGACATCACAAACATACCCATGTTTTCGAGTCTAATATTTAATACTGCATTCAAAACAATCAGTGCAGCCTATTCGTGTGATAGTGAATCAACACTTGCCAAACCTGAATTATCAGAGTATTTTGTTGTAACGCCTGTATCGGACTCATGTTCACTTAATCAAACAACGGCAACACAATTCGATTCATCGATTAAAGAAGTATGCATTTTAAATCACATTAGTTGGCACATGATGATCAATAGCAGTAAGTATACAGTAAATGCAAGTATACAACTAGAAATCAATATCAATAAAGCACCTGAAAAGCAATTTACAGTTCAACCATTCACATCCCCCACAGGAAATGTAATAGTTGATTCAATTGAACATTTGATCATTTTCAATTACCTGAATGAACTACCAAACATTGGACTTAATCACCAATTGTATGCAGCTGACACAACTTGGTGGATTCTACACTATAGTTGCTCCTTCAAAATAACATGCAGATACTCAATAACAAAATCAACCGAATACATCAGGATAGATAAAAATGATCAGAGTAGAAGATTGGTCATTAACTATCAGAACAAGCAACAGATAGAAAGCAAGCTAAAGAATGCAGCTAAAGATTATATTGGTACCATGTTCAGCAATGGAATTGATAAAGAGTGATCACATTCTGATTTCGTAGTGACTCGCCTGTGTGAAATATTTCACCCAAATCTTAGCTTCCTGATTGAAAACAAGCTCACTTCTAGTGATATTGGCTGAAGCATCTGCATAATTCTCAATCACAAAATCAATCAATATTGATCTGGTGTCTCGTGCAATCTCTAACACAATTGGCTCCACTCTGATCAACTCTTCTGTAAACAGGTAGTTTGTGAATCTCCACTCTACGTAGCTTGTCTCTGTGTTCAACCTATGTTCTCCATTTCGTGCCTCTGTTTTTGAATCATAGGCTGTTTCTGGGACTGGGATTCTGATTCGAATTGTTTTGAACTTCACTGGTTTAGTGGCAGTGAATTTATAGAGGTTGTTTGTCTTGCTGAGGGTGATCAATGGCTCATTCACATTGTTGATGAAGTAGCTTGCTAGTGTTCTACTTCCATTCTTGTAGTAGAGCTGATGCTTATTTGCTTCGAGTAGTTGAACAGCGTGATCTGTTTTCACCACATCAACGTGATTTGGTACTGTAAATTCTACCTTGATTTCCCTATTGTCCTTGTAGAGTATTTCACCAAAAAGACTGTTTTTTAATACCTGATTGTTTTTTATCACTGTCTGATACTGTTCCACCACATCAATGTATATGTTGTCTGTCTTAATTCTAATATATGTCTTCTTGTGATCCCTAATCAAACTTGGATGATATAGCTCAGTGATGAATTTGAAGTAGTTTTCATTGAGACTATTTCGTGATATTTCAAGGCCACTGTTTTTAAGGTGCTCTTTGATGTTGAGCAATGCCTTTGAAGCCATGAAATTGTCCATGCTATGATACAGAATGTACATAATACAGTCATTTACTGCAAGTGTGCTCAGCCTAGTTGGTGTCTTCATACTGTTGAAATCTATCTCACACATTTCACTGTATTTCTCCACATTTCCATAGAGCAGTTGACCTCCTTTGCTCGTGATGAATATTTCTGTGATCATTTTGTTTATTTGTTTAGTTTCTAAAACTATCATAACATCAGTTGTATTTCCTAGCTTCCTCTATGAAGAGTCGCACTATTTTGTTGATTATTTCTCTATCGTTTTTATAGTTCACCTCTTCCTTATTCATCACAGTCATTCCATCCAGTTCTATTTTTAGGCCACTATTCAGCAATATCATATTCTTCCTTACCATCCATCCAACATTTCGGATATAGATCGCATTATTGATCAAATTATCTGTTTTGATTCCTAGTTCTATGTTTGATCTGTTTTCAAGCGTATATTCATTTTTATTGCACCTGATGATCTCTTTTTCTGATCGATTGACTAATGTTTCGATGTATTCCCTGAGATTGTGCAATTTATGGGGAAATTGAATCATTTCTCTCCCATTTATTTCGTATTTATCACTGAGTTTCTTTACAGTAATGCCACGTGCTTCATATGACCAATTTCTACTCAAAAAGTACCTGAATTTGTATTCAATTCCATCTATAGTGTGTATCACAGTCTCATCAGCTAACAATTCGATATATCCACATAGGAAATTGTAGTATTTTAGTTCTGTATTTGATAAGAGATCTTTTGTTTTGATTTTATCGTTGATCTTGATTGATGTCCTGAAGTTGTCACACAGCCTGAAATCGTGCATTTTGTGCTCTTCTTCTCTGCAACACTCTTCATAAAAGACAACCGTCTTATTGAAATTGCTCTCTATACTGACGTAGTTTTCCTTTCTGATAATTTTGCCGTATTTTGTTTCTCTACTGAATTCCTTAATGATCTTGAAATTGTGCATTTTACGATACAACACATCAAACACAGGTTGTTGTAATGCTTCAAATGCACTGGGCCTGTTTGTTGGGTCTGTTGCAAGTAGCTGATTAATGAACCATTTCAGCTCTTCAGAAACACAGGCTGAATCCAATTCCATTTCTTTTGCCCTGCAAACCAGTGTCTTTGCAACCACTCCCAAGGCATAAATGTCTATTTTGGCTGAATAGGCATCTTTACCTATTTCAGGTGCCATGTATTCATGTGTCCCACACACCTCATTCTTATTTTCATCCATAAAGCAACTTAATCCCAAATCACATATCTTAATTGTCTCATTCTTAACCAATAAATTGCTTAGTTTTATGTCTCTATGAATTAGATTGTTCCTGTGCATAAAATGAAGGCCTATCAGAATCATCCTGATAATTTTGACTATATTCTTCTCTTCTATTTCGTATGTGTTGATGAATTCAACCAGGTTGCATTCACATGACTCTGTTATGATGTAGAATACGCCATCTTGCTCGATTATTTCTATAGGAATCAGCACATTCTCATTCTTATCTTCATTCTGCATTAATCTCTTCAAAATTTCTATTTCCTTGCTATGTGTCTTGTTGATGCATTTTATTGCCACCTTCTTCTCACTCTCCCTGTCATATCCCATGTATACAGTACTGCTACTTCCCTCTCCAAGTATTCTTGCGATTCTGTACCTGTTTGAAAACATTATGGGGTCATTCTCTTCTTTATTTCAATTACTGTCATATTTCACCCTCTTTCTTTCTATAATTCCATCAGAAATAACCCCCTACCAACCCCAAGAGAATGTTCAAGAAAATCAAGTATTTTGACTGCAATACATTCTTGATGGAACTTGATCCGTGTATCAGAATGATTATGTCTGAAATAACATGCAGTCTTACCGACTATATAGAGACCAAGACCCAGACTGACTTCGCTAGCAGTGGATATCGGATTAACACAAACATTCAAAAACCAATTTGCAAAATAACCAGAAACAAGAATGTCAAAATAATGGGATTGAAGAGGTTTAACCTGGATATGTTGAGTTACAAGGATTTTGATATCCTCCATTTCAGTGATATCAATGGCTTCTATGCCAGAAGGAGAAATCTGTGTGGCACCAAAATAAACACACTTATTCTCAATGCATGCACGATAAGCCTGGCCAATTTGACCTATCTCATTGAACGATGCAACATAAAAGGAATAGAAATACACGAGGGTACTGGGATAATTGGAAATGGTTTCTTTAACACTGATTTTATCAATCACGGTGTGAAGCACCTGAATATAACTGATCTCGAATTGGTAGGTGCAAATGGTAAGTTTAACTTGTTCAACCACAAAACACTCAACTTTGATAGCGATGACTTCTACTTGTCATATACGGTGAATGGGCGATTCTACAAATCATTCGATTGCAGTACCACTACAATTATGCCTGGAGACATGCCCAGAAAAGACATCTTTGAAAAGGTTTCACTCATGGACGTATGTGATATTGAAATCATCAAGGAGTTCAGTAACGCAGTCCTAATGAAGATCAATGATAGTGTAATACACATAGAGAAGCTGCTCAATAGCATACCTGAATCGCTTGAGTTCTTATTGATCGCAGATAGCAGCTTTGTATCGGAAGGAATACAACTTAGACTATTTTCTACGGGACAGAATATCAACGAGTCCAATCTGGACAATCTTGACTACAGTAAAATAGAAAAGAGTAGAATCAAAGAGATTGTGCTGATTAATACAGCAATTTCATCAGAAATGCTAAATGTATTCTGTAAATTGCAGGAATACTGTGAAGTATACATAGAATAAACACTATTTTGATCAATATTGTATATTTAAGTAGTAAAGCAATCAATTTATTTGTTGGTGTTGTTTTCCCTGGATTGGGATTTGAATTCTTCTATGAAAAAGATCATCTGGTCCAGTTGCCCCTGAATTGATCCATTTCTGATGTAGATCATTTCTTCATCAATACTCCTGTATTTGTCGTAAAAGTGTTGCTGAAATTCTACGATGTCATGCGTTTCGTCTCCAAAACCAGCTCTTTTAACTGTTTCCACCGGTGATACATCCAGAAAGAATGTGAGGTCAGCTTGTGGCAATTGTTTTTCTAATTTTTTGACTGACTCCCATTCAAACCCTTTACAAGATGCTACTGCAGCTCCACTGATCCAATATCTGTCACAAACTACACCATTTTGCTTGAGCTCTCTTTTGATCCACTCTGCCTTCTCGTACCTGTTTAAACAGAAGAGAATGATGATGTATTTGTTGAGTCTCTGTGATCTGAAGAATTCTGATTCTCCTGCTTCTTCATTCACAAATGCTTTAAATGGACTTTTATCCAAATTCAACTCATCAATCAGTCTCCATATTTCATCATCAAGTGCATCTAATTCATCTACGGTGTATTCCTTATTCTCTTGTAAAAATGCATTCAAAATCCCTCCTATTTTAGTTGTTCTGTTAGGGAAACATATGTACGTGTAACCTAGTTGATTTGCTAGTAATTTAGCTAGTGTTGACTTCCCACTGTGATCTATCCCTTCTAGTACAATAAACAAGTTTCCTTTTGACATTTTATTAGGGTCTCATAAAATGTTTTAGCAGGTTCAGAGACTGCTTTCATTTAATCATATGAATGTTGTGTCAACAACATGTCAATTTGGCTGTTATCTCACTTTTGTTTATTGTTTCAGGTTCTAGAAACATTTTTGATCATATATGGGAATTTCATTCAAATTCAGGTGCTCTGTCCCTGGGAACAACCATTTTTTATTCTAAATCAGTTTACACCCTACAAATAAAAACCATTTTGTTTTTCTTCTATGACCAAGAACAGTACAGACCTCAGAAAGTATTCCTTTAAGGGCAAATACTCATCACGAGCACCAAGTAAGATTCCGAAAGTCAAGAAGGAGACTAAGGAACTCTACACCTACCAATTGCCGCCTACAATCAGAGACTATGGTAACCAACTCACCCCAACTGATGTTATTTTCAACTTCGAATCAGACGAAAAGCTTGCTGATAAGTACGAAAGAGCAATTGAATTCATATTTGAACAGGTTCTCTCTGCTGATGAAGATGAGAAGGAGCTAAGTGCCATGGCAAAACGAAGTAATGTTGCTCTGACATTTCTGACCTACAACATCGCAATCTTCGAAGTGAATGAAATCAAAATTCTCATGAAATTGATTTATGATGAAGACGATTACTTTGAGGACGAGGTGACAGTGCTTCAACACACATTCAATTCCAGGGTTGTTTACTCATACGAGTTCTATAAGAACACAGATGACAACAAGGGCGTTCTTTCTATGGAGTATCTGCCTGTGAGTGGATGGTTTCCAAAAAGCACCAAGAAGAATGGATGTCTCGTAAACAACAACGTGGACTACAAAAAGAAGGAGAACCTGATTCGAATCTGGACCAGGGACGTCCTAATTGGCCTGAATAGTCTGCATCATGGTGGTTACGCCCATTTGGATTTTAAGCCTGATAACGTCTTTGGGGCGGTAGAGGAGGATCGACTTGTGTTCAAATTGATTGACTTTGGGGATGTTGCGAAGGTTAAAAGAGGAGAGTTTATTTCCAGGGACTCAGGAAGCACAGGTTACAAGCATTACAAGGAGATGAAGGAGAACATGGCTGGGACATTCAGTGACATATTCGCATTGGGAATGAGTCTCTGTTATTTTGGCGTGAAAGAGGACTCAGACAATTTGCTCCACGACTTTAGCAAGGCAGATGTAGACGAATCAATGGCCTACGTTTACAAGAAGTATAAGTACGACACAAACTACTCAGATGAGTTGATTGACTTCGTAGAATGCTGTCTGAGAGACGACCTGGCATCACGTCCAAGTGCAGAAGCACTACTTGAGCATCCATTCATTACAGGCCATACCAAAATGAGTCACTAGGAATAGTTGAATAAATGGTTCTAATTCAAAATGTCGAATGTTCATAATGTCGAATTTTCAAAATTATGGGGCAAATTTTAAAGAAGCAATAAGAGTCACTGTTTAATAGTAAATAAACTCCACTAGACTAAAAATATAGTCAGTTGCATGCTGTCCAGACTCTTCCCTCTCAATGACAAACACAAGAAGTGACTCACTCATCTGTTTGTACTTCTTGTGCCTATACAGGTTCTCACCTGACTGCAACCTGAGGTACTTTAGGTGTACTGCCTCTGCCTCAGCACGCAACTTCTTCACAACGTTCCTAGAAGTCTTGTTCAACGTTCCAAAAGTTGAACGGAAGATGTTGTGCCAACCTTCAATGCCATTATTGGTACGTGGAATGTCTGCCAAAACATTCTCACGGTTGTTCCAAAGGCAAAGAGGATACAGCGGACCATTGCCATTAGCACCACTCACATATGTCTTATCAAAATAAGCATATGTGGAGGCTAGACAAGAAGGGAAGTCATCGTGATTACGTAACCAAGTGAATGTTTGTTGAACCTGAGCTGCAGGAACAAAGGCTAAACACTTCAGAGCCTGAACAAACTTACGCACAACACGATCACTGGCATACGACTCACTCATTCCAGAGCCATCCAATCGCCTTTGGATGCTTTGCCCCAGGTGAAACATACAACCAGACATCCTAGACGATGGATACACCGTCTTGAAGGCATTGATTGCAGCCTTTTCGAAGTCAGTTATGACAACATCAGGGTCTAAGCCAGGAATCAGACGATTCAAGTGACTTAGGAACTCCAGATAGCAGTTACCTGACTTCGAAGGAAGCAGATCATAGACGATAGGAAGGACGTGGTGGTCAACAAGGATTGAGATGGTATACATCTGAGCCCATCCAACAGGACAGACATCAAATGTACCGTCTATCGACCAGACCTTACCACTTCGGAACGGAACAACCATTGCGTTATCAAAAAAGATAACAATGTTGCTAG